GGGTGACGGGCTGACCGGCGGGGTGACGGGCTGGCCGGGGGGGTGACAGACAGGCTGGGGGGGGTGACGGGCAGGCTGGGGGGTGACGGGCTGGCCGGCGGGGTGACGGGCTGGCTGGGAGGGGTGATGGGCAGACTGGCGGGGTGTGTGCCTCCCCGGGGGCCCCCGCGCCTCCGGGTGCAGGCCGTGAGCTCCAGCAGCCCCAGGGGAGAGCACGGCGGTCCCTCCGCACCCAGCGGCAGTGCCCTGACACCCTGAAGGGCCTCAGCAGCTGTGAACACACAAGCTCTACGAGGACCACAGACATGTGACAAAGGAGCCCAGGTGGCCAAAGCGGCTCTTCACCCCAGATGACACGCCTGCCGTGGCTTTTCTTCCCCAACTCACAAACCGGACGCAGCCACTGATAACAAGGACTCACCCTGTTCCCTTGTCCAGAAGGTATGCGGGCGGGAGGGATAACTAATGACCGTCCCCCGCCCCCCCCACCGGATCCTCACCCCAGAAGTGTGGCCACAAGCGTGGAGCGTGAGTGCCCTCCTGTGGCCATCATGGGACTGACCGGTAAACATGGAGCAACGCCTGACCCAGTTCCAGCCGCCGGAGCTCAGAGTGACCTGGGGTCTCACACCGGGGCGCCTATGCTCCACGGGGTGGTGGGTACTTGCGTCACAGAGAAGGTACGTGGGCAGTCAAGTCCCCCAGGACAGGTGCCTTCTGCTTTGCTCACCCACCATCACTGATCGGGAAAAGGGCCTGACACTCGTATGGAAGGGATTCACGGAAACAAACAGGTGAGGGTGGAGAAGGCTCGGTGAAGGGCCACAGGGGCAGAGCGTGGCCAGGGGAGGGCGAACCGTGATGCACAGAGTCCCGGAGGCTGGAAGCAGGCGCCCCCGGGCGAGGGCAGGGCCCAGCCGTGGCCAGCAGAGTGATGCCCCAAAATGCCCCGTCCCAGTCCCCAGAGCCTGTGAAAACACCACCTCACGGGGCCAAGGGGCTTTGCAGGTGTGATTAGGTCAAAGGAGCTTGAGCTACAGAGGGGACCCTCCAGGTGAGCCCACGACTCGTGAGAGGGAGGAGGCAGAGGTCGGAGGGCTTTGGGGAGGGGCCCCCAGCAGAGGAAGGGGGCACCTCTAGAAGCTGGACGACCCCCAGAAGGAACACAGCCCGCTGACACTCGGACTTTTCACTTCAGACCTCCAGAACTGTGAGAGAATAAACTTGTTTGACGCCATTTTTTTTGTTTCAAAGGAGAGAAAACAGGAAAGAGTTTGCAGGGAGACACAGAGCAGGCAGAGAACAGGAAGCACAAAGGCCCTGGGGTTTGCAGGGGGCTGGCCCAACCGAGGGCAGCAGAGAGGGAGAGCTGGGGAGGGAGGCACAGACCCGGCACCGCCAGATGCCTGGATTTTATTCTAGGAGGCTTCAAGTATTGTAGTTATAGGAGTAATTTAAATTTTAAAAAGATCACCTGCAAGGTGTTCTTTCCATTTAACAGAATTCTGTCTAGGCCTGGGGAAACCTGGTGGAGCCGAATGTGTTTAGCAGACAGGCAGAGCTTTGGCCCCACACGCGTTCATCCCCCAGGGCACCAGCCGGGACACAGCCGCCAGGGGGAGAATCATCTGATGAAAAATCACTTCATCATCTCGGGTGAAAGGGACTCATCTTGGTGATTTTCCAAACTTGACTGGTGGGAGGGTAATTCTGGGGCACTTTCTAAAATTACAGATTCCCAGGCCCGTCCCCTGAAGATGCTGACTCACTAAGTACAGGGTAGAGTCGGGATGTTTACGTGCTGCAGACAACCTCGATGATTTGAAATAGAAAATCTGGGCAGACCAGTCACAAGGAAGGTTACTAATCGAACCTGTCATCAAAAGCCTCCCCGTACAGAAAAGCCCAGAACGGGATGGTTTCACTGGTGAATTCTATCCAACAGGTAACGAGGAATGGGTACCGGTCCTTCCCAAACTCTTCCCCAGAAATAGAAGAGGCGGGGACATCTTCCCAAGTCCTTTTCCAAGACCAGTGCTACCTTGATTTCAAAGCCAGACAAGGACAGTACAAGGAAAGAAACAGGTGCAAAAAATCCTCCATAAAGTGCTAACAAACAATTCAACAGGACTTGTCTTGTTTTTTGTTTGTTAGAGAGACGGGGGAAGGAACAGAGGGAGAGAGACAACCTTAAGCAGGCTGCACACTCAGCACAGAGCCTGAGCCGGGTCTTGATCTCACGACCCTGAGAGCACGACCTGAGCGGACATCAAGAGTCAGACGCCTCACCGGCTAAGCCCCCCAGGCGCCCCTCCACAGTACGTTAAAAGCAGGATCAAGTGGGATTTATGCCAGGGGTGGGTCACCCCACAGCCACAAATAAAGGATAAAAACCATAGGGTCGCCTCCGTAGTTTCAGGAAAAGTATTTGACAAAACTCAACATCCTTTCTTGATAAAATCTCTCAACAGAGTGGGGTACAGAGGGAGCATAACGAGACCACATATGACAAGCCCAAAGCAGCTTTTTTCTAGCCCAACTTTGCTGCCCATTCTAATCGGGAACGGATGCTGACTTTTGCCCAGTGCTCCGATTCTGTTGGGACGACCCCATGGTGTGGTGCAGATGGGCTTACCTGCACTGATTCACCTTTGCGGGCTAAACTCATTCTGCCTTTCTGGGATGATGCCTCCTGGGTCATGAAGTCTTA